GCTAAGTATATCATTTCATGGTTGAATATTGTTTTACATATACATATGAATGATTTGGTATAATTTTAGATCATTTAGTCTTTGATTAATAATAAGTTACATGTCTCTCGATACCGAATGTTGAGCCTAAAATTACAAAGTTAATCGACTGTTGATTTTTTTGTTTGTTGTTTAAAAAGGGCCGTGTGCCAATTTTTTTTTTTTTTTGGTTCTAACGTAAGCACGGGACTGAATGGTTCAAATAATTTTGATATGTTCTAGGTGGTACAAAAATTTAAACCTTGACTCAGAAGTGCCGTATGCAAGAATAGGACGGTTGAAAGCCACTTCTGGGCAGTTGGATCGCAGTTTGAGCCATGTTATTCACAAGCAAGGATTATGTTGACCAAATTGATTATTGTTTTGACGATAGTTGATGATACATATGATGCTTATGGCACCATGGAAGAACTAGTGCCATTTACAAATGCATTGTTAAGCTGGAATCCTAGCGGTATTGATGGGCTCCCAGAGAGCATGAAGTACCTTCATCATGTTGTATTAGATTTCTTTGACAAAGTTGAGGATGAGCTGGAAAAGGAAGAAAGGCCAGGATGTGGCATTTACGCCAAAAAATCGATATAACAAAAAGATTATATATATATATCCATACAATGTATTGAACAACTATATAAGAACTAATAAGTATGTGGTCATGTTGAACATATTCATGACCAGATGATCGTAGCGGCTAAATCCTACATTCAAGAGGCGAAATGGTTGAACGAAGACTATGTGGCTACATTTGAGGAGTACAAAGAAAATGGAGTTTATTCGGCAAATTTTTTAGCATTGTCAACAATATCCTTTCTAGGAAAGGTGGATGAAGGCACACTTGAGGTGCTTGAATGGTTAAGCACTTTCCCACCACTTCTTGTGACTTCTTCGTTAATAGGCCGTTTGTGTGATGACATTGCGAGTTGCAAGGTAAATGTTTACTCACCTTAATTAAACAATGAATGTCAATCATGCCAAAAACTAATTTAAAAAAAAATATAGTTTAATTTAAAAAAAAAAATCAAGTAAACAAAAATTTAGAAGAATACGGAAACTTTTTTTTTC